TGGTTATGTGTTTACCGGATTTTCTTCACGTGTTTAACATCTAAATAAAGGATAGTCTCTTATAAAAAGTCCTCCCAGAAGCACCCTCTTGGCAGATTATCCTTGTGTTGCGTTAACCGTACGCCAAAATAACGGATCCAGAAATCTTTAGAGGAGATGCAGAAAGAAAACATTGTGCTTTACTCATTTTTTTACTAGCTGTGGTACCCGGCTTTAGTCGGAAAAACCTTTAGAAGGGGATGTAACTGCGCCTTGTGCACCACTAAATTTGGCTCCCATCAAGCCGAACAAGTGAACTCCATGTTTTAATGTAANTTATCAGTCTTATTTCTCGTACAATAATATATTTATAAATTTAAATTTTTAAAACAATTTCACAGAATGTTGTTATATAAATTCCATATATGATGCAATAGTCTATAGAGAATGAACTCCCTCACCATGGTCTACCAGTAGCTGAGTGGACAAAATCACTAAACATTGGTAATTGTTGTGGGTTCGTACCTTCCCAATGGGCTGGCTGTGTGTTTACCGGATTTTCTTCACGTGTTTAACATCTAAATAGAGGATAGTCTCTTATAAAAAGTCCTCCCAGAAGCACCCTCTTGGCAGATCATCCTTGTGTTGCGTTAACCGTACGCCAAAATAACGAATCCAGAAATCTTTAGAGGAGATGCAGAAAGAAAACATTATGCCTTACTCATTTTTTTACTAGCTGTGGTACCCGGCTTTAGTCGGGAAAAACCTTTAGAAGGGGATGTAACTGCGCCTTGTGCACCACTAAATTTGCCGACGAACAAGTGAACCCCACGTTTTAATGTAATTTTAATCTTCTTTACTCTGTTTGTAATTATATTTAATGAATATATTCATTAATAATCCTTCAATAAAATGAAAACACGAAGGAAAAAAATATCTTTCCCCCATTTTCCTGGCATGTATTTACTTAAAATAATACTTAAAATACTTTTCCATTCTTTAGAATAGAGATAATTATTTTAAATTGCATTTTTTTCTCTTTAAATCTATTGTAAAGTTATCATTTATTATCTATTTCTTTAAATCTAAGAATAAAATTATTTTTATTTCATTTTTCTTGTAGAGTAACGGTAGTAAATCTTAATGATGCAATTAGTTTCTTTACAATGCAAGGTCGTGGCTCACAAGTCAGCCATTTCTAATCTCATAGTACATCTGTTTCACGTTCTTTGAATCTCTCTATTAATAATAGGCCTTATTATTATTTTTCTATTATTTTCTACATAAACCATTGATTTTATTTAATTTTTAAGTGTTAAATAAAGAAATTTATTTTAAAATGTGTAAATTGTTTATGATTTCTTTATGGAAACATCAATTGAAAACGGTAATAGATTGTTTATTTGATAGGATAAGTCAACGCAACACGAGGGCAATCTACCAAGGGAGGACTTTCTGCCTCTATTTAAGGCCTTGTAGAGGATTTTCAGAGCAGATTATTATTCAGTTCGGTGCTCTGCCCGATTAAGACATCTTCTATTGGCCTCGAGTCGTAACAACCTTCCAGAATAAAACTGGCGAACCAGAGATAGAAGAGGGAAGGAGAAACGGTGTGTCCGCTCGCAACGGGGGTATCATCCACTCTGGCAACCGTGAGCCAAGCCTCAACAAGAGCATTTCCTTGACATTTCAGTTTGCTTTGACGGGATAAGGCAACGCAAAACATCGGCTGTCTACCAAAGGTATTTCGGGGGACTTTCTATAGGAAACTGGCTCAAACCCGTGACCACCAATAGGTTTGAGCCAGTTCCAGTGGTTCAAAAATGGTTTTTATCATATAGGCTTGATGTTTCGGATTAAGACCCCCATTGGAGGGAACAGCTCCAAACCGAACGTCGAATGAATTCTGTTACGCTTGGGTGTACCAAGTGTAACTCGGCTCGGCCCACTGTTACGTTACGGAAAATATACTAGTCTACATCAGCCCTCAGATGTTACGCACGTGAAGAAATCTGCGTGAAACCCACGCTTTCATCCACGAATCCAGCACGAATGCTCGATAATTTTCCACTCGATTATAATAATAAATTAGATATAAAATCTACATTAAAATTGTTATGAAAAANCTTGATGTTTTTTAACACAAAGGGCACAAATATGTATAGAACGATCACACTCATTTGTTTCGATACCACATAATGACGTGTCCCGCTAACAATAATTGTTTTCCTTCTATAAAATTTCTCGATAAACAGCTACAGGCAGCATATATCATTATATCGGACAGTAATATATGATTAATTTTACATTATTAGTTACAAGCCATCCAGATAAAGTAGCCATTTTGTAAAAATGCAGCGCCCTCTATAGTTCATGAAAAACGCGAATACTTGTATCGCGCCTACGATAGTGCTATCGTCCGGACAGTCCGGGAATCGGCTTGCCGTCAGGGCGAACTAGTAAGTTTTTTATGCAAGGGAATCCTGCGAAACCTGTTGACCTTTTTTTTTTTTTGCTTGTACGATTCATTCGCGTTCATATACACCACTAATATCCAATAGAACTATTTTAAACAGGTCGCTGCACTACCACCGAATTTTTCATTGCTTGTTCTGTGACAAAACTGAATTTTGGTCTTTTAAATTGAAATACCTAAATAAGGGGGGCCGAAATTTTCCTCCGCCCCGGGCGGCTGATACCCACGGTACGCCACTGAATTTATTCATTTTGTGCCATATGCCAAATTTTACACCGGACTATCCGGTATTTTCGGTGTCGTAATTTATCATTTCTATGAAAATTACTTCACAGATTTCTCTTTCAAGATTTCTCTTATCAGTCTTATTTCTCGTACAATAATATATTTATAAATTTAAATTTTTAAAACAATTTCACAGAATGTTGTTATATAAATTCCATATATGATGCAATAGTCTATAGAGAATGAACTCCCTCACCATGGTCTACCAGTAGCTGAGTGGACAAAATCACTAAACATTGGTAATTGTTGTGGGTTCGTACCTTCCCAATGGGCTGGTTATGTGTTTACCGGATTTTCTTCACGTGTTTAACATCTAAATAAAGGATAGTCTCTTATAAAAAGTCCTCCCAGAAGCACCCTCTTGGCAGATNCGTGATTTAAAATTTTTAAACATTAACATTCGACGGTATGAGAATGTTAACTCTAAACAAATATGGCGACTTCCACAATTTTAAACACGTTGTTTGCCAATTTTTCTAATCCTTTTAGTACATTACCTGTTAAAGGAAAAACTTGTAAAAATACTGTTATTGTAACAAATGAAAAAAATCTTATCTATATTGTTCGTGTAAGTAGCTTCAATTTTCATTTATTTTAAGATTCTTAATTTTACTTAATTAAACATAGATCTAGCCTTAAATCAGAATGTAAAATTTTACTTACTGAACTTATTTTTTCGTTTATCATGTCATATCGTGTCATATATATTTATATATATAAAGATTAAAAATATAAATCAACAAATTACAAAAAAAGGGCCCATGAAGTAAGGATAAACTTTTACTTTTAATTTAAACTTTTGACAACCAATTTTAAAGCAATTTTTTATTATCATATCTACAGATAAACCATGACTTCACTTTGATACCATAATCTTCACAGAGTTAAAATCTTATAACAGATGATGTATAAAAGAATTTATAACTATACTTTTAAAAATAAATTTTAACAAAGAAAACAATGACAAAAGTAAGTAAATTATAAATGGATCAAGATCATTTTAATATTTGTTGCATGTCCTTTAAGAAAAGTACAGAGAAATTCACTTGCATATAAGTATCTAGTTAGCGATTAAAAACTTACAGGAAAAAAAATTACTGTATTACATATTATTGGCAGTGCATTGCCAATTTAGATTAGGAACAATTGGCAAAATGGTTTCCAGCAGTCAGTGCAGCTGCTCATAAGCTACCTTTTACATTTTTCTGCTGCAAAATTTGATCGATTTGTGCTTATTCTTGAAGGGTCTATTTCTGGTATAACTCTGAGTAATGATCCAAATGAAGAAAGCAAAATTAATGCACAAAGAGTATCAGAAAATGTAATTTGGCTTTCCTATTAAATTTATTTCCCAATTAGAATGGGAATTTCCTAAAATGCACCCCACTAAATGGGGTAGTCCCATATAATTTTTTACCTATGAACAAAAGTGGCTGTTTGTATTAATGTATTTATGAATTAATGTATTAATAATTTTAAAATTTTTAAATATTTGTAAATATAAACGAACTCCGAACAAGATGAAAAAAATGCTGTACAGATTATACTTATGACTAATGACTTAGCTACTTGACATGTGGATGCAATCTATATTTATACCTTTAAACAGAAATATAACTGATAATCAAGAAATAAGCAAAATTAATCTGTCTAATCTCGAATCTTTGTGGGTCGGATACAAAATTATTTAAGAGTTGACCCGGATATGTTGGTTTTCGTCTCTTACCATTCGGTAATCTCCGCTCCATGATGAGCATTTATGTATATATAATATTTATTTAATGCTCGATAGCAGTAATGAAGGGATATATATATATATAGTATTTGAAATAGTAGCGAATTAATAACTATTAAGACTATTACCGTACTTTCCGGCGTATAAGACGACCCCCGACTTTTGAGATTTTTCCTGGGTTAAAAAGTCGGAAAATACGGTACATAGTAAAATTAATTTTTATAGGTCCGTCTTGGCAAAAACATTTTCTGCATAATTCGTTACAATCTACTTTTCATATAAAATTAGAGACTTGCGATTCTTATTTTCGGATCAGTTTACAGACCTGCTTCAGGCCTGTAAAACGTTTATTCCGTGATTAAAATTATTGCTGGAAAAGGACGAATAAAGTGTGTTTTTTATTGTCAAATCTCTGGTTATTTATAAAAAACGAATTGTTTTTGAGTTGGCTATATTTGGGCTACTTTTTAAGAAAATTTTTGATTACGAAAGGTAAAACATCTGGCAACGTGCTAGAGACTAATTTTCAGAAGGAAGTATTATAGGTTGCCAGATAGCCGTAAATGAATTTATTGTCGAAATATTTTAAATAACGTTTTTAGGAAAGTAAATAATCTTAATTTCTACAAAATATTTAACAACTAACATTAAAAAATAAGTAATATATTTATAAAAGATGATTTAAAATTTTTAAACATTAACATTCGACGGTATGAGAATGTTAACTCTAAACAAATATGGCGACTTCCACAATTTTAAACACGTTGTTTGCCAATTTTTCTAATCCTTTTAGTACATTACCTGTTAAAGGAAAAACTTGTAAAAATACTGTTATTGTAACAAATGAAAAAAATCTTATCTATATTGTTCGTGTAAGTAGCTTCAATTTTCATTTATTTTAAGATTCTTAATTTTACTTAATTAAACATAGATCTAGCCTTAAATCAGAATGTAAAATTTTACTTACTGAACTTATTTTTTCGTTTATCATGTCATATCGTGTCTTATATATTATATATATAAAGATTAAAAATATAAATCAACAAATTACAAAAAAAGGGCCCATGAAGTAAGGATAAACTTTTACTTTTAATTTAAACTTTTGACAACCAATTTTAAAGCAATTTTTTATTATCATATCTACAGATAAACCATGACTTCACTTTGATACCATAATCTTCACAGAGTTAAAATCTTATAACAGATGATGTATAAAAGAATTTATAACTATACTTTTAAAAATAAATTTTAACAAAGAAAACAATGACAAAAGTAAGTAAATTATAAATGGATCAAGATCATTTTAATATTTGTTGCATGTCCTTTAAGAAAAGTACAGAGAAATTCACTTGCATATAAGTATCTAGTTAGCGATTAAAAACTTACAGGAAAAAAAATTACTGTATTACATATTATTGGCAGTGCATTGCCAATTTAGATTAGGAACAATTGGCAAAATGGTTTCCAGCAGTCAGTGCAGCTGCTCATAAGCTACCTTTTACATTTTTCTGCTGCAAAATTTGATCGATTTGTGCTTATTCTTGAAGGGTCTATTTCTGGTATAACTCTGAGTAATGATCCAAATGAAGAAAGCAAAATTAATGCACAAAGAGTATCAGAAAATGTAATTTGGCTTTCCTATTAAATTTATTTCCCAATTAGAATGGGAATTTCCTAAAATGCACCCCACTAAATGGGGTAGTCCCATATAATTTTTTACCTATGAACAAAAGTGGCTGTTTGTATTAATGTATTTATGAATTAATGTATTAATAATTTTAAAATATATATATTATTTTATGTCTGAAAATAAGATTGGTAGAAATTCAGAAGTGTTTATGAAATTATTTTAATCTATATTTGAATTTCAAAACTAATTTCTTACTTTTTTATATATTTAGATTATTTTTTTTATTATTGTTGTTATTGTTAATTTATTTGATTTAAAGAAGTTTTGTTGTTGAGCAAACCAAAACTTTAGGTTGAACACCATTAAAAACATTAAAGGTTAACAAAGAAAAAAGTTGTCTTTGACATCCTTTTCAAATGCCAAACAGGAACTTCACTTGAACATTAATAATGATAATATTGAGGCTATTCAAGTAAAAGGTCATGTTCAACTATAGATCCTGTTCGACATTTCAAAAGGATGTAAAAGGAAACTTCTTTATTAATTGTTCCCTTCCTACTTCTTTGGTACTTTAAATAATCCATTATAAAAAAGAAAAAGTTTAAAATTTCTTTGCAATAAAAAATAACTATAGAAAAATTACAAGCATGTAAGTGCTATTTAGTTAAAGTTATTCCAAAATGCATATTAATATTGAAAGTTAAATATTAATTTTACTTTTTAAATGAATGGTGTATAGCAGTATAGCATTAATTACCCAAGATAATTTGAACAAGATACTTTTATTGAGTACAAAGAAAGAAAAAAGAATTACAGAACATTTTTATTTCAATGTGATTAAAACATTATTCTGTTTAAGATTACCATAGACAAGTGTCTCTTAACCTTTCCTTAAAAACTATTCCATAAAAGAATTGTTTTAGTAATATTTTTACTAATTGCCTTCTAATCAAATTTATAAAAATAATATACTTTATTATTTGTTCATGATATTTAAAATTAACTATTTATTTACTTAAATTTGTTACATGTATTTCCATTACCTTCTATCACATAGCATTACTTATATATGTGACTGTATTCTAATATTCACACTAAAACTATTTCTCTCCACCTTAGAACTAATTTTTCACATTTAAGGAATCTATTTTTGTCCCAAGAGGTGATGTTGCCTCTGTTAAGAAACATCAATAGAAAAAAATATAAATAAATAAGACCAGTAACTGAAATGATTAACTTGGTTTTGAGTAGTTCTGTGTGTTCAATATCACTTTTAATAAAATTTATATTTTATAATTAATTTGTAATGCAGACAGAATATACACCTTACTTGTTTTGAATGGTTTTTCCAAATGTTTCTAGCTTTCTTAGAAGTCTTCTTCAGGATGTTGTCTATCTAGAACATGTATGTTTTAATTTTTAAAGTTTATTACCTTAAATAGACAAAATCCTGAAGAAAACTTTTCTAGAAAGCCAAAAACATTTGCAAAAACATTTCAAACTGCTGAAAAACACGTAAGATGTATATTCTGCTTGTATTATTCCTATTCCAGTTTGGATCTCATAATTATTTAATCTGTAATGTAACTGAAAACTGGAAAAGTCTATTCCATGGGTATAATTGAAAGAAAAGAATCTCAAAAGTTGTTAAAGGTGGTGTCAAGATACTTATTGAGATTTCATCTTTGTCATCAACTCATTCTCATCATCTTCTGTCAGAATATACTCCAACTATCTACAATTAACCAGTAACCGGTGCGAAAATTCTTTAAAATCGGCAAACGTTTTCGATTCCCCTCCTGGGATCTTCTTCAGGCTTACTTTATTTTAGCTTTCGTTGTAACCGGATTCTTTAATTCGAATGTTTTTGAAAAAAGCCATTTTTGGAACGTGGCGTTTTTCGAAATTTTTTCGAAAAATGGCACGTTCCATATTTTTCAAAAACATTCGAATTAAAGAATCCAGTTACAACGAAAGCTAAAATAAAGTAAGCCTGAAGAAGATCCCAGGAGGGGAATCAAAAACGTTCGCCGATTTTAAAGAATTTTCACACCGGTTACTGGTTAATTGTAGATAGTTGGAGTATATACAACCTGGTGTGGTGAGAAAGCGCATTAATTCTGTCAGAATATTGAATGTTATTGATCTAAAAATGGGATTAAGAATCCAGAAAAGCACTCAATCTGAATAAATACCTTTACTCCTTTAATCGCTTTTGAGTTTCTTTTCTTATATTTAATCTGTATTATTGAAATAATTTTAAGAAGATATATGCTGAATAAATACAATCTCGTAAATACATATATTCTAAATCTATTTTCAAAATTTTCAATTTTAATAATTATGCTAATTTTTGTTTATTAATGAATATTGATGTAATAAATGGAAAAGTTCTTATGATTACTTGTAAATAATACATGTATGTAATATAGAATATGATAAATACAATTATTATCATAATAAATTAAAGAACTAATGATAATTTATGATTTTATTTAAGTTTATTAGAATTTCTTAAACTATAAATTATGTTGTTTATTAATGTCTTTTGCAGATATCTGATAAAAAACAAATAAAGAGTTGGTCATCAAAACAGTCTTTTCAGTTCACTTGTCCAACTGTTTTTAATCCTGTGGAAAATGAATATTCTGTTGTTCAGAATGGAACTGTAAGTAAAAACAGAAATTATTTTAAACACTATATGTTATATATATATATAAACAACAAAAAAGAAAATAATGAAATAAAAAATTATGAAATTTGTTATTGTAGAATAAAGACTTTTAATAGTGTTAATTGATTCATAAACTGCCAGATTTTTCATAAACTACTATATTTCTTTGATTCTAAGATTCACTAATTGTTAGAAGCATCCATATATAAACACCACCTGAAACCCAATGCATAGTAAATAGACTCCCACAACTGCTGTAAATAATCAGGCTATAATTTTGGAGATATTAATTATAAATTACGAATGAATATGGCACTAGGAGGAGGCATTAAGTGCAATCTTGGAGATAGAAGCACTCTCAATTTAATGTAGACAATGTACAAATTTTTTTTTATTAATTAATCTACAATAGAATAAATTGTAAATTTACCTATAGATTTTATTGAAATGTTAAAATAAAGAACACAGTATATTAAAATTCAGTCTGGAAAAGACGACTTCATGGATTTAAATGTAGGAATGAAACTCAAAATCAATTAAAAGAGTCAGAATATTTTGGGATTTTTAATCCCATTAAATATTCTGACTCTTTTAACCAATTTCAAGTTTCTTTCCTTACAAAACACATTATATTTATTCTTCCCAGTATTACTTCTGTATTCTGTTGAATATGTGTTGCATTTTTCTGTTTAAATATTGCATCATACTTTTTTAAAGATATTTTAATTGGCAGAGTGCAAAATTTTAGTTGAATATGACATAACTGAAATAACAGCAGAACAAATGGGTGTGATGAAAAATTTGTCTGTGTGTAGGCAATGACAACTATGCCACATGTTTTTATGAAGTAATCAAACTGGCAAGATTCTTTTTCATTGAATATAAGACATTAATAACTGTATAATGCATCCTAATTTTAGAGATTAAAATATGAAAAAATATGCCTTAAAATCAAAGATTGTAGTAATTTTATGCTTTATATCCACTTTGACAAAATCTTTTGCCTGAGAAAAGTGATAATATACTGTTGAAAGTATTTGCTCATATAATTTATGTTTATTAAAGAATTTTAATACTAAAAGACAGTTTATTTAGTGTGTTGTTTATCTAATTTGGCATCAAGTGTGAGTTCAAGTTTTGATAATTTTATGTTAAAATAGAAACTAATGTTTGAAATAATTTAGGACTAGAAATACTTAATTTATTAATAGTTTAAATTAGATGATTTTAGACTAATTTTTCAATGTAAACATTTATAAAAATAAAGTGATGAATTTTGTTGATTTTGTTTATCTTTAGATTTTAAGGAAGTGGACATTTGATGAAGACAACTTTGAAAATGTTTCAAAAATAAAAGTATGTATTTTTGATTATTAATTCATATATAAAAAACATGTAAGCTATATTTTTGTACTATTAATTATAAAACAGTTAATGAGCTTCTTTTGTAGAAACTTAATTTTCTAACCCAGGTTGGTTTCCTGAGTCGTTAAGGTGACTACCAGCTTACCACTCTAGTCACTAGTCCCTCAGGATCAAATTTGAGTTGGTTGAAAAACCCCAGAAAACTTTTCAGGGGTGGTCCGTCTAGATGTGTCTGGCTCCTTCTCTCATTTCACATGCAGCCACCCCATTGTGGGCTTGACTGAACTCATAATGGGCTTACTAAAAAAAAAGGTCCTTTTAGTGTCCACAGGGTGGTAAGAGTTAAAAAAAAAACTCAGATTGGCTATCAATCAAGACTGTGGTTGATGGTCATAGTATATAATTTGTCACATCATTGTTATTTAGTAATTGAGATACTGGCATTAGCATTCTTCTCTATGTGATTTTCTGTAGTCCACTTTTGGTGTACTCAAAAATTGAAGAAATAGTGTTTTGAAGACATGCTTAATGTTTGATTGTATTTAAGAATATAAATGTACTTTTTGACTAAAAAAATATAAAAAATAAACAGAAGGAGAGTTCATCAGTTATTAAAGTTAACATTGACTTATCAGTACATAAATGAAAATTGATATTTAATCTTTCATAAACCAATGCACTTCCCAAATGCTTGCTCTCATTAAAATGTTGTCTAGCTCTATGCTCCTTGTTAAGTAATTAAAGATTTCAAAAACTCTTCTTTTTCACATTTTCTCTCTGACCTATGGTTTAAGCTTAAACACAATTTTGTCTCCAAACTGTACAATATTTGATCAGTATTAGGATTCAGCAGAATTGAATGATTTGAATTTGTAAAATATTTTTTTGAGTGTACCATGAAAAGTTGTTTTCTATAATATATTCTTGTGACTACATTTGAATGATATTCTTCTTCTTTGGATTTTTTTACTTTTCTAATGGTTTACCTTTGACTTAATTTTTCAATAATTCTTTTACTCTTTTTCTCTACATTGCCCTCTCTTCTCAGCCTCCTTCTGTTAGTCCTTTCTTTCTTTGTTTATCTTTTGTTTTTTTTTTCCATTCTAGCCTTGTTCATCTGTGATTTCCTCCTCCTTCTATGAGGTTCATTTCATTGACAATTTTGGTATTCTTTCTGATTTTGTTTTCTCAGATTTTATGCTATTCCAGTATTTTTCTCTATATTATTAATAATGTTATTTCTACTTTCATAATTTGTCTAATTTTCTTATTTTTAACTTTCTATTTCCTTGATTTTCCTGTCGACCTTCACCAAAAATCTATCTCTGCTGCTAGAAACTTATTTGTTTATTACGAAAGTTTCTGTTCTGTATAACATTACACTTTTCACTAATGTATTATATAATAAATTATTTTTTCACTAATAATATTTTTATTCCATAGAACAGAGTTTATCTTTCCTATGGCTTTTTAACAGAACAGAATTCAAATTAAAAACAAATTTGATAGAATCAGATTTTGGAGAGCTCTTTTTAGAACAAGTGTCAAAACTCACTCTAACAGTTTGTTTTGTTTTGTTTTAGTTTTTGTGCAAATGGGTAAAAATATTGGTTTTAAAAAGTATACATTAGTTTTTAGGATAAACTGTTATTTTGTGTTTCTTATACATAAATTTATATAAATCAGAAAGGAACCTGTTAATGTTATTTGGAATCAGAAAATGAATAAGGTAACCAGAAGAAGAGCATTTTTGAATTTAACTGATAGCTGTTAAGTTTTTCCACTTAAACACTCGATAGTCCAATATACTGTATTTACTCACGTATAAGATGATCTTGCATATAGGACAAGAAGTGATTTTAAAGATCAAAATAAAGTAAATTAGATCTATTAATATAAGGACCTTGAATAAGTTCTTGCTGTTTTTTTGTGAAAATTAACACTTTATTTAAAAAAAGTCGTAATAAACACGTCACTGAAAGTATTGTCCATCACTAGCCACTACTTTCTCCCATCGTTCTGGCAGCATTTGAATTCCATGTTGGAAAAACGACACGTCTTTTGAGGCTATCCAAGAATCAACCCATTTTTTGGCATCTTCATAAGAATGGAAGTGCTGCTCAGCCAGGCCATGTGCCATTGACTGAAACAAGTGATAATCGGAAGAGGTGATGTCTGATGAATACAGCGGGTGGGGTAGGACTTCCCATTTAAGCGTTTCCAAGTACGTTTTCACCGGTTGTGCAACATGTGGCCGAGCATTGTCATGTTGCAAAATCACTTTGTCATGTCTCTGCTCATATAGAGGCCGTTTTTCCTTCAATACTTGGCTCAAATGCATCAATTGTAGTTAATAGTGATCTCCCGTGATGGTTTCATTTGGTTTGAGCAGCTCGTAATAAACTACACCTACCTGATCCCACCAAAAGCAGAGCAGAAGCTTCAAACCATGGATATTTGGCCTTGCTGACGATGTTGATGCATGGCCGGGCTTACCCCACGATTTTCTACATTTAGGGTTATCGTAGTGTATCCATTTTTTGTCACCTGTCACAATACAATGCAGAAAACCTTTCCTTTTCTGCCATTGAAGCAGCTGTTCACGTGAAAAGATGCCGTTCGACGTCTCTTGGCTTCAACTTGTACGGCACCCAATGTCCTTGCTTTTGAATCATTCCTAATCCTTTTAAATGTTTCGTAACTGTTGTGTGATCAACTTCTAATGATTCTGCAAGTTCAGCTAGTGTCTGACATGAGTCTTCATGAAGTAATGCCTCTAATTCCTCGTCTTCAAACTTTTTGGTGCGCCAGATCGTTCTTTATCTTCAACATCAAAATCATTATTTTTGAAGCATCTAAACCAATCTCTGCATGTTGTTTTCGACAAAGCATGGTCGCTGTAAGTCTCAACAAGAATTCTGTATGCTTCAGCTGCAGATTTTTTTTGAATAAAATAGTGCAATAAAATTCCCCACAAATACTCTTTTTTTGGCACGAAACTTGACGTGTTTAACACAATGAAAAAATAAGTTGTTTACACTTCGGTGAAATGACATATACTGAATTTCAAGGTCGCTTATTGTACTTCCTTACAGATGCGTCACCATCTAAAAATAAACACGTGTGGTTCTGGTAACGTCATCTGTTAAAAAACAGCGAGAACTTATTCAATGTCCCTATACAATTCTAATTTTATTTTGTTTAATCACAAATAAAATATCAAATGCATGTAAATACACTCATTGTCCCACAAAAGTTATATTTAAACTTTAAGGAAAAATCTTGTAAAATCGTCAACATAATTTGTTCATGTAAAGCTGGACAATCAGGGACCTTTTTTGCCAATTCTTAAAAGTTGATTACACTTATGAGATTCTCTGAATTCTGATTTCCGAATAATCATCTGTTTTCACATGGGAATGGATTAAAACTTATATTGGGCTCCTGTGTGATTTGGAATTTCAATTTGGAATTCAATTCAAAAGCTTTGCTTTTCCTATTGCTATTCATTTTTATTCCTGACAGTACACAAGAATGATTCAAACGACCCAGATAAAATGCTTTTGTTTTTAAACACAAAAGGTTGAGCATCTGGTAAAAAATGCGAGTACACAGTTCACAAAAATGATTGCAAAAATGCAAAGAATCCTTTACTATATATGCAAGTGAAGGATTGTTTGTGATAGTATGACCTAGGTTTTTGAAACAGTGAAAAACGAATCTTATATGCGAATAAATATGGTATTTCTAATTTAAACCAGTTTTGTTGGATTTTTTGCTGTTAAAAATTTAAAAATATTTGACTTTATATTAAATGTTTTATTTTGTTTGTATTAAATTTCTGATATTTTAATGCATTATTTCTAAAAGCATTTAATATAATAACATAACTTTTTTTAATAAAATGAAATAAAGACAACTTTTTATAATGAGACCAAATTTTATTTACTAAGTTCAACTGTTAGCTAAATTTGTCTCAACTGGATTTAATACTGACTCTATAGCAGGGGTGGCCAACCTTTTGCATACCATGCGCCAATTTTTGTGATAGATGAGTTCAGATGCGCAGAGGCGTACCGTGAGTGTTAGCAGCCCGGGGCGGAGAAAAGTTTCGGCCACCCGTTAACTAGGTATTTCAATTTATAAGAAGAAACTATTTATAATCTATAATTTATAAGAGAACTATCTTACACGGGGGTAGCTACACTACCCGTATAAAGTAGTTCTATATGACATCAGAGGTGTAACGAATGCATAGTGTAACGTGCAAGCAAAAAAAAGAAAAAGAAAAAAAAAAGGGTCAACAGGTCGATTGCACCGAACCGTGTATGCAGTGAATTGTTGCTCAGAAACGACTAAAGCGCCACTTGTAATCGTCCAATGCGCCAAGTTTGGGCATGCGCCACGTGTTGGCCACCCCTGCTCTATAGTCTACAGTTTAAAAAAGTAATTTATAGTACTGATTTCAGGAATAGTATCTAGTCTAAATCAAGACTTAGATCACTCTATACTAGTAAATCCTTGCCTTTGAGTAAACAGTGGACTGTTGTTAACAACTGTTGATCCTGTTTAAAAATATACATAAAATTTAATCTTTATACTATAAAACAAAAACTATATATTTTTTTCATTGTTTACTTTGAAAAATAACATTTAATTTTAATATAAATTTTTAATTTGTAACATGCTTTTTTTCCTATACAGTTTAAAGAAATAATTTATAGCCTAATTGAATTAGATGATACTGAACCTATAGTTGTATTCAACAAAGGTGAATGCCAATTTCTTCAACATGCGATAAGTAGTAAGAAAGATGATAAAGTTAATTATATTCAAGATGATGACATTTATTGGGTTGATGGCATTTCTGAAAAAGCAAAAGTTTACATTGTGTTGCTCTCAATAAATAAAGATGTAAGTACTAAAATTTAATTTATTTTTCTGTTTAAAGTTCTCAAATTAAAAATTGAAACTACAGAGTGATTTTAGATTATTGTTGAGATTTCCATGTCCATTCCTGTAATTTTTCAAACAGAAACAAAAACATAAAACTGCTTACAGAATATGAAAGTTTAACTGAAAAAGTTTACCAAAATAATTGTAATAAATGATGGAGTCAGACTTTTTTCTATTCTTCTTACATAAATGTAAATTACACAAAAAAATATATTTTTCTTTCACTTCTGACTTTTGGATATTATATAACTTCAATAAATTTTTAAAACATTAAACCAATAATGATTAAAAAATTAAAGCTAAAAAAAAGGTATAAAATTGGGAAATCAGTTTGCAGAAAAAAATACTTTTTATTTACATTACTAACAAGCTCCCCAAATGCATTTCGTCTTCGTGTAATTTACGTTTAAAGTTTTATTTGGTAAACAAAAAGTTTTATTTGGTAACACTGAGAGATATGATATCATACTTCAAAATGAGTAAAAAAAAAGTTTTATTTGGTAACACTGAGAGATATGATATCATACTTCAAAATGGAGACTATTTAAGAGAAAGTAATGTATTTAGTTTGGTTTTTCAAAACAAAATTCATTACCACAATGCACTATTACAGAACTCAGTATGGAAAAAATCCATTTTAAGATAATGCTATCTGACATTGATTAAAGCAATTTCAAGATATTAGTAGCATTCCACATCAAAAGAGAACAGGAAGAGTATCTTTTCAGTAAAATATACCACATATCACTATTTGTAGGGTTACTCATAAATACCTCTTTGTCTTTGTGCTTACAAACTGCAGATTGTGCAGGCTTTCTAGCCAAATAAACTTGCTGTTCCAATTTTTTCAAAAGTCTAAGCCAGGGGTTGGCAACCTTTTGAGTCGGAAGAGCCAAAAATTACAATTTACAAAATTTCAAAGTTTTTAAAGAGCCACAAAATTTTTTCTTGCCAACAATAAATAGTACTCGCATAAATAAAGTTTTTGATAAAAAAAAAACTAATCTATTTATTCAGAATTGTCTTGCGTCGAAAGCGAATTAAACCTCATAGAAACATCCGACGACGGCGTCATTCGAGAGCTTCCGACAGACTGACGACAGTGACGACGTGTGTCACGGGGGAGGGGTGCGATGAAAAGCGAGTACAAGTGGCTGAGAGATAGAATCGGTGCCGAATCCTCGTTAATCGATTCAGAACGATTTTTAAATGTTTTTTTTTATAAAATAAATAATATTTGCGTATGGAACTAAAGAGCCGCAGCTTCACATCCAAAGAGCCGCAGGTTGCCGACCCCTGGTCTAAGCTGATGAAAATTACTTTTGAAGATGGAAATTAAATGATAAAGCAATATTTTACATATTAGAGAGCGTAAATTGTTCTGATATAGAATACAGAGATAAGAAACCCTCACATTATTTGAGAAATTGAAAGAGACAATTCAAAGATAAATTTTTTGTCATGTTTGTAAGTTTTGGGGCTCTTTCTCTTTGTAGAAAAAATTGTGACATTGGTAACCTATCTAGACAATGTTGCAGGAGTATTTGTTATCCCAGTTGAAAGGTTGTCAGCCAAATATGGTCTTTGCACTACCAGTTTGGATTCTTATTGTCTGAATTTCTTGACATACATTTTCCTGGATGTTTGGTTGATTGTAGTGGACTAATTCTGTGGCCTCTGATTCCAGTAGGAAGAAATCAAATGGCATAATATCAGGTGCTTATCTGATATGCCAATTGATTTCTTCCTATAGAAATGTATAAATGACATTGTTTTAATGTAGCTATTTAAAATCAAAATCAATTACTTGCATTTTAAAAGTGATGCATTAAAAATTCATTTTCAGTTGATTATAATTATTTTTTCTTATTTTCTAAATGTTCAGTAACAAATCAAATTTAGCTTATTTATTTACTAATTTAAAAATTATGAATTATATAAAATAATATGTTTGAATATGCTGTTATGTTATTTTAAATATTGTTAATATTATTTATATAGTCATTTATTTGTTCCTTTTTTATTTCAAAGCATACCACAAGAACACTTCATTGGATGGTGATGCCAAAGACTAAAAATGCCTCTTTAATACAACAGTCTGTGATATTGAAGAAGGAAAATTTTCAGCCACTTACTTGGTGTTTGCATCAAGATAAAAAACAATTAAGGTTTTTATTATTGTGTATGTATTATATTATAAAGTATTATTGTATACTATCACTTTTGTAGATGTTAAATTTATTTAAAAAATATATATATAATTATTGTAACACTGCTTTTTTTTAATTATTTTTAATAATAGGGTCTGATGGAGAATTACACTCTTATGAATATGGAAGTAATGATTCAAAAAAGTTGCATAGTTTTAACTTGGTTGAAAATTTATCAATTATTTTGTGTCCATTGAATACAAATCATATTGCTTTACTTTCTGCATCAAAGACACAAGAATTTGAAGGTAATTAGATATATATTTTTTATATTTTCTGTAAATGCTGTTCTTATTTATTTGAATTATGAAATCGTTTTGCAGACATTTATAGAATGATATTTAAAATTTATAACAAACTTTTCAATAAAAATATTTCGATACATATTTACTAAAGAATTTGTGCCATTTTTCATATAATAAATAATAATTACACTAAAAAAATTGTGTGTTACTGATATGGTAACTGTTGTCTATCATACATAAAAAATATTCTATTCATTTATTTAAATAATGAATTTTAGGAAAGAGAAGTACATTTATGTTAATGTTGTTAGTTCTGTGAAGTGTCTACTTGTTTTGAATGACCATTAATAGAATTTTTAGTATAAGTAAGATAGGAACTGTGATTTCAGATTGTAATAGTATTCAGTGCTGGAGAAATAGTTGTTGTAAAATTAAATAAATAATAGTTTTTGTATAATTTTTATAATTATTAATGATGCAACGAATAGGTAATCTATTTCTAGGTATTCAGTTTTCGGCCGAATACTGAATACCTAGAAAAGGAGTAAGAAATAACAAAAACACAGTAAATTAATCATTTTGGTAACTTTTATTAATGCTGAACATACATTTCAAGTTTGAGAAAGTGCAATTTTTTGCTTATTTATGTAAAAGATCAAAGGAAAAGTAATATAACTAAGTTATTTTTTAAGAGATCAAAAAAAGGTAACAAATCAATTGAAACTACCTACTTATTATGTAGTTTAGTCATCTATATACTTGTATATAAAAGAACAAGTCCTGATAGGATAATTAACGCAGAGCCAAAACTACTGGTGCTAGAAACTTAAAAATTTGAGGGTGTGTTCCTTTTGTAAAGTTTAGGCATGCTAAGAAACAATTTTACGAAATTCAACCCTAAAGGAGTGAAAAGGGGTAAAAAATTTGTATGAAAATTTTTACTGCATGGGCACATTAGATTGAAACTTAGGTCATAAAATGTGAAAATAATAATAATTAATAATCTGTAAAGCATTTTTATGAAATCATCCCTTATTATAAACTTGAAAATTAAATTAACTTTTTTGTTTCATTGTAGAAAATTATTTATCATAACTGAAGTTCCAGACAGCTTGGTAGCCTGAACAGCCTCAGGCCTTCGCCTGTGCACACTAAGTGAATTCCATTACAAGCATTAAGCTTTCTGAAATCTATGAGAACAATTATTTGGCGTTGACGGCCATGAATTTTGCACAATAAGCTTCCTCGACTTGTTCAATTATGTTACAACTCAATTTCATATTTATTTTCACATTTTCACTTCGCGGTCCTTCTCTGTTCTTTTTCTGTTATTTACACATCAGCATCATTTTATTGTTATCTACATTTGATATCACTTATACTACATTTAATTTGAAGTGGCTGTGATTTTATCTAAAGGCCATGACACACTAGGCAATTTTTCTGGGAGACAGAAAAATGTGTCTCCTGGGCAGTTAGGGAGTCAGATCACTTTTATTTTGGGAGACAAAAAGTCTCCTTGTTGCACGCTGTAACAAATGAGCATGCTTAGATTTATCATTTGATTACAGCTCTTGTTTACAGCACAAAAATAAAAATGGAGGATACTCACTCGTGGATTGTGGACAGAACATGACAATTGATTTCATCAATTCAATTATATGAACCAGTTTATAAGCACACTATTAAAGAATATGACGACAAAGTAGTCAGCAATACAGGCTTTTGCACTGTTAGCAAATATTTACAATTACCAGGTAAGAAATATCAATCGTATGATTTGGGCAACTTGTCTTTTTGTGTGCTCAAACATTGCCAAATGTCAGTAGATTTTTGCTGCTCAGAGATATCTCTGGAGCAAGAAATTGCCTGGTGTGTAATGGCTTTAATACATTATTTCACATTACTTAAAATCTTGAAATAAAAGTAATTATTCATACTCCAATAGTGTTATAGACTTTACAATTAAGTTATTTTTAATTGGAACCACAGATAAAATCTAGTGTAATTTCAGAATATAATTAAAATTATCTTTGTAATAAAACTTTCTGTAATATTTTCATAAGAATCTTTTTCATAAATAATAATAATAATAATAATAATAACAACAACAACTTTTTAATCGTGCTTTATAATTTATTTCAGATCCTTTTGTTGAAATATGGGATTTTAAATTTTCAATTGCAAAAGAAAAGAAAGTTGTACACATTTTAAAAGAAGACATTCAGGTGATTTTTAAATATATTTGCAAATATAATTTATTATTAAATCATATCAAAATTATACTTTACTACAATCAAATCTCAATTTAGTGTCACCATTTGTTTGCCTCAAAAATTGTCATTAAATTAAGTACAATATGAAAATATATATATAATAATATGGAAAATAAACAAGATTAAGAGTTTGAAAACAAGGATTTAAATATGATAATATTGATTGGAATGTATAAAATCATACATGTAATAATTTAGATAGTAAAAAAGATTTTTATTTTTAATACTTTGGGGGAAAGATCCATGCACAACTATTCATTGGTGCTATAAGAGAATGATGCAGTTCAGAAGGATACTGCATCAATGTTTTATTGTAAGTTATTTTTAATATTAAATATTTACTTTGTGAAATTTTAAAAAGGCATTTTCTATTAAAACACAAGAGAGGAAATTAACGTTTTCTATCAAACTCACAAATAGTGAAAGCTAGTTCAGAATTAAATCTTTGTTTCTTATAAATTGAGAAAAATAATGATAAATAAAACAATGATATTCTATATATTAAGTTCTAGTCATACATAAATCTGCTGCTTACTACTCAGATGATTTGTCTTCAATAATTCTTTTAAGGTTTAATTATGTTATCATTATAAAAGGATGTAACTATACTGAAAGATCTGATTCACTGGCATTAAATACAGTTATAAAATTTTATAAATAATGTGAGAGACTCAATTGTTCTTATCAGTTTAAACAGTTAAATATCAATTTAGAAATTACATCATTAATAAACAAATTCTGAACACAGTTTTATTTATTTCATCAACTAACATAAGTATGGAAATACATCTCTTTATGAAGCATTTAATTTATATATATCTGTATATAAATATTAAAAGCAAAATGTTCCATTCCCGCCAAAACTGAAACCAACACTTTACAAAGAAGCGGTGTGTAAGTAGCCCCCTTTTTCAAATTTTAATATCGACTCAAAATAATTTAAAAAGACAAATTACAATAAAACTGTTTATTATCCAACTATCAGAAATTTCACAACATGCCAAGGAAGAGAGGAAGGAGCAATTAAATAATTAAAATTATAAAGGATTTAAAAATATATATATAAATGGGGAATATCGCGCTTCTGACAATCGCTGCGAGTGTGTGGGCTAAATTTGGAGAATCCGTGCTTCTCGCATGGACAACTGTATGTGGCCGGCTCGCGTCGGAAAACCTTTTGATTTATTCGTGTACGCACCAGACGAAAAAACAAAAAATATTGTGTATCAACGAGCACTCCAATAAATAAATAGAATTGAAACAACACTTTGAAATGTTTTCCCGATGAAAGTGAATAATAATAATAAGTTTCAATAAAAATGATAAAATGAAAATTTAATTTTATCATAACGAGTTTGCTTGAATTTCGTTTCTTCTGAGATCGCAGCAATGCGCGACGGGTAAGCTAGTAACTTATATAAATCTAGCTGGAGAGTATTTTGAAGAATAAACATTCATATTTAAGAGAATAAACAGAATAAAAACATTCTAGAAACAAAATTTATACAAAATATAATTAGCAAATACCTAATTATTTAGCATGTAATTTATAAATTTAAGATTATAATTTTGTATCCATAATACTAATGATACCTGTAATCTATATTTTTCAGATGGCTTATTTACATAAACATTTATTTATTTTTGATGGAAAAAATTTATATTCTATGGAATGTGATATTAAATCAAATGTATTAACTTCTCTTCTTGCGATATCATCACATTCAATTAAAATGAATGAAGATAAGACTGTGGTTAATTGGAATGATGATAAAACTCTGACCAATAAGAATGATGAGAAAATTGTTGTTAATTGGAATGCCAATGAAGAGGAAGTAAGTCTGTTTTTGAATAATAATTTTATTATAACTTGCCTTTTGTGTTACTTTAAATATTTATATGGATATATTTATTTAAATTTATTTCTTTAAATATGCATAGCATAGTGTATAAATATCAGTCATTCCATAAGTAATGTCATTTTTTTATCACTATGAAAGAAAGAATGCAAATACACCCGGAACACAATCCTCAGTCATAATATTCACCATCTGATGCCATAACTCTCTGCCATCTGTCAACCAATTTTTGAATCCCTGTCTGGTAGAAAGCTTTGGATTTTGTTGTAAAAATCTCAGACGCTATTTGCCATACATCTTCCACATTTTGTAGTAGTTTTCCTTCAAGATGGTTTAGGAGACTGCAAAACAGATGGAAATCCATTGGTGCAAGATTGGTGAATAGGGAGGATGGGGTATTTTCTCCCATTGAAATTCCTGTAATATCATGCAGGTCATTCTTGTCATGTGTGGGTGGGCATTTTCTCTTTATGATTGACCAGTGCAGGATGTTTCTCCAGCTATGCAGTCTGTAGCCATTCCAACTGCTGAAAGTAGATATCCACTGTGATTGTCTGTTTTGGTGGCAACAATTCAAAATGATTGATACCATGCATATCCCACCAAACACACATCACTTTCTGTGGGTGGAGTTCTTGTTTTTTTCATTGTGCCCACCACACCACTTTTAGATATCCACTGGAATCTGTGATTAATATTGTGGTTTAAGATCCGTGTTTTGTCTTCTGTCACCATTTTGTCCAAAAATTGCTCTCTTCTGTGACAGATCAATAGAGATGTAGAGATTAATATGCTACTGCCTCTGCTCGAGTATCAACACATGAGGTATCCATTTTCCAAGTTTTGACACATAACCAAGGTTCTGCAAATGTTAAAGGTTGTAGGGGTCAAATGGAGTGCTGTGGCTAATTCTTCAACAATTTGCAATTGATTTTCTTCAACAGTTACCTGCAGAAGATCATTGTCAAGCTCAACAGGACTTCTTTCTCATGACATATCAGTAAGGTTGGTGTTTCCCATCTGAAATTTTTTGCAAACACCAAAGGTTTTGTGCCCATATACAGCATTAATGTTTTGTATCACTAAGGTTGCTGAATGTCTCTGATGGAACTTATAAAGAATAACATGCCCTATGTATTCTTCAGACATTGCCAACTGACACACAAATTTCTGTGGGCTGATCACATTCTGTGCACATGTACACAATGAACTGTTCAATCAAATGCTAGTATTATAACTTTGATATAGTTCATAATTTGCTCATCATATGGCATTGATTGTATGGATATTCAAAAAAATGACATTACTTATGGGATGACCTGATAAAATATAATCTAATCAGAATATCAGTTAAAGCAAATCATTGTTAATATAGTTAATGAATGATTCTTTGGTATGCAACATCAAATAGTTATATGATAAAATAAACTCTGTTTTTTTATGTCACTTTAAAATTTAGTAACTTTTAAAAGTTAGTAAATTAATTAAAAAGTAAAGTTATTAAATTAAATTCAACTATTTATAACTGGGTATATGTTAATAAACTCTTTACATATAACAAATATCCAGCAAGAAGAAACTGCATACAAGAAAGCAAACACTTTAATGGGTATCATCAGGCTAACCAACTTTTACAGTTGTTAAAACAAACAGAAAAGTCACTAGAAATAGGTGAATACTGTCCATGTATTTACAGAAGTGACATAAGAGAGGAAGGGAGAGAATTAAATCTTACAACCCCCCTCTCTCATGTCACCCCTCTTTTAATATGTGGATGGCAATCACCTATTCCTAGTAGCTTTTATTTTTGTTTTAACAACTTCAAAAGTCAGTTAGCCTGATGATGCCCATTAAACATGGATGAAAATGTTTGCTTTCTTGTAGTTTCTTCTTTCTAGTTGTGTGTGCAGAGTTTTTTAAAGTTATTAAATTTTTCTTAATGTGAAAAAACAAAATTTATTGTATAATATAGTTATGATTTTTGTTCCAGATGAACATTATGACATTATAAATATTTAATTTTTTTGTTATCTCCTAGACAAAAATCGAAATTAATGTTATATGAATTTTATTTTGATTAAGTTTTCCCATTTCTTTTTCTGTAAAACAGCTGATATTATACTACAAAGTTTAAAAATATTTCTGATGTATTAATATACTTACTTTTATACTCTTCTTTTTTATTATATGGTATCTATCATTTTAAGTTTATAAAATAATGAGTTTTAACTAAATAATTCTATATTTATAGGTGTAGTATTTCTTTCAGCAAGTAAAATATCTGAAGTTTAAAACACACTTTATTCCATTCTCTATTCTAAATATGCATTTTGGGTTGATGTAAACTCTCAACCCCTTTACTTGCCGAATGAAATACTACACCTATAAATATAGGATAATTTAGTAAAACTTTTAAGAATACAGCAAACCTATAATTAAGATTTATGAAGTAACTTTATAAAAATATTGAAATAATTAGGGTTTAAATGCCATGATATCTACAGTAAAATAATTAAATTTCAAAAATTAAAGGTAAATTATTAGTTTTTCTTAGAAACATTTATAATTTAGTGATATTTCTCATTTTCTGATAATCCATATACATGTGAATATTTAACATTAGTATTTCTGTAACAATAACATTATAATTTCTAATCACAGAACCACTTCAACATCCAGTAAAACATGAAAGATGAAACACAGTTTGCCTCAGAAAACAATATAGAGTCAAAATTAAATCAGGATCAGCTCATCAGATCCTCTACAAATTGGAACCTCATCATGCTTTTAGAGTCCATTGAAATATTTAAATTCAACCTTGGCTCTAATTGCATAAACACTAATACAATTGTCAAAAACATGGAAAGTGTGGTATGTAACATCATTATGACCTAGATAGATCAGCGCATATCTTTAACTGACCTGTTCAAATTTGAATGCTACACAAATATTTTATTCAATTCATTCCAATTAGAAACGAACTATTTCAACCTGATGGTGGAATTAGGTGTATTCTGAATATGTTTGTGATGTGTTTCATCTTTCATGTTTTTCTGAATGCTGAAGTGATTCTGTGACTAGATATTAATATATTTCCAGTAATAGAGAAGTACAGGTAAAAGTTTAAGATCACTGTCTCTCAGTGTTAATAAAGTTTTAATAGCAATCTATTATACACTAAAGTTTTGACGAGTAAAGCACAAAAATAAACACAAAATATCTCACAAGCACTTCCAACATGTATAGAATGTCTTCTTCAGGCGAAACAAATTTTAGAATGTTGATATAAAGTTTAACATTAACGTTAATATGTTCTAATTAGAATATTTCCTTTTGACTATACATACATAGATAAGTCTTAGTCCATTTTTTGTCCCTTCACACACTATACAAGGCATAACAATTCCCTCAGCGAAGTCAACCTTTCTTTGTAGGCTATCATTTGCCAAAAAATGTAAAATAGTTACAAAAGTTTTGACTATACATATAGGAAATATAATTTTCTACAAATGTCATATTTGTCCTGGCAGTTTTTATTTAATATAATTATTATTTATCTTAATTTTTCTCTGCTATCGCTAGAAGACTTTTGTAACTTACTTTTTTGGCGAATGGTAGCCTACAAAGAAAGGTCGACTTCACAGAGGGAATTGTTATGCCTTGTATAGTGTGTGGAGGGACAAAAAATGGACTAAGACTCATCTATGTATGTATAGTCAAAAGGAAATATAATTTTCTACAAATATCATATTTGTCTGGCAATTTTTATTTAATATCACTTTTTTGTTTGTTTTATCTGTTTTATCTACTGTCTTTTTAATTCCTCAACAGATTACTAAATTACTTCATTTTCATTATTGCTTCACATACTTTATTTAATTTGTTCTAAAATTTATATATTGATACAATATTTTCATTATACAGCATTAATTTACTATTTATGCTTTTATATTTTTGTAATAATAAGTAAAATAGCTAGATAGAATTGATGTTTTTAAAAAATTATGATTTAATTGCATGGTCAAATATACTTTTAATAATAAATGAATCTTCTAAAACAGGGATTCCCAAACATTTTGCTTGTTGGTTCCTTTTCATATTTAGACTGATCCCTTTCTGTATTGACCAAATTTCTGATTATAGGTTACCTGTACAGTCGACCCCCCTATAACACAGTAGATACGTTCCGTTCTTTAAGAATCAATTTTGTACGAGTCCTTGTCAATCACAGCCCGACACATGTGAAGTTTACAGACTATGGCTGTTTGAAAGATTTTCTTCCATAAAATTAATCAATTCTAGACTAATTCGACTCAACATTTCCAAAATATGTATAATTTTTTTGGGAATAATCCGTATAAACTATGCTATAAACAAAAATTGTAGGATTACTTACTGAGTGTGCACCGTTCGACGTCACCATTGCTCAAGCTTGTTTTTGTCGCGGAGCAGCGCACCAAACGGTGGGTGATTTCTGATAAGTTATTTTTCTGCGAAAACTTCGTTGAACTTTGGAGACATCATTAATATAAATAATTTTTATGGCCATTGAATAAGAAATGTTTCTTTCACAAGAAATGTATAAAATTACAGTACTGTATTAGACTTACGGTTCCTAATTTACATACTGTACAGACAATAGTAAACTCAATTTACCCGCCTAAATTCTCCGTAGCGTGGCGCTGGGCGGCTGCTCGATGATGTTTTACTGAATTATAGGAGTTTTTCTACCAGGTTTGTACAGATACCGTTGCAATTTTTTCGCCGTCTTATAGGAATCTTAATTATAGGAACCCAAGTTATAGGGGGTCTACTGTATAGCTGATGGCTTAGACAGACATAGATGGCTTAGCATAGATAGATAAATTGCTAAAAAACAACAATTTACAATCACTAGCAACACTTTATTGTTCAAGGAGCTGCCATACTAATATGACAGCTCCTTGCTTGTCATGTGAAAGCTATAGGCAAACCAG